GTGAGCATTCAGTAATCTGTGAAAGATGAGTGAGCAAATAGTAATCAAGTGTAAAGTTCAGTGATTATTGGTTAAATTTACTCTTGGAAAGACATAGGTAAGCTGGTCCACTTTAATGATAACCATGCGATCTTTCCAGGCAACAAGCACTACAACATTATTAACATTTGTTTGGAAAAATTAGGATTGAGCTCCCTAATCTTTCCAGTAATATGTTTTTGGGTCCGCATACTCCAAAAAGTAAGTTCTAAGTCCCCAAATTACTTAAATATGTTAAAAAAGAGTTCACATGATACCGAGAACCATAAAGGAGACTTTCACGCCAGGTGGAGCTCCTCTTCTGTATCTGTATATCTGCATCTTCCTCAGATGTAGTTTCTATGCCTTTAGAAAGGCCTATTATTGATCCACCATGCTTCCCCCCATATGAGAGGCTGTAAAGAAGCTATATCGGCTCATCATTCAGACATATAAAATAAGTCGTGAACTCCATCAAATCATTTAACATCCAATTTAAATGGCGTGCAATATAACCTTTGGAGGCAAAACTCACAAAATCACTAAAGAATTCAATTTTACCAATTTGAGCCCTTTTTAAGAGAAATGTGTTTTGAAATAGTGATTTTTTGAATAAGATGTTAAAAAATAGGCAAAAAAATTTGAATTTATGTATAAAATTATTTTATAGGAGAATGTGATTAAAAACGAGTTTTGAAAAAAAGGATGATCAATGAGGGGCTAAATATGTTGGACACAAAGGAGGTATTTTGCCATCTATTGGAGACCTACAAGGACCAGAACCTCAGGCTATTTAAAAGATGGGGAGCCCAACTTTAAATTTCCAGAAATTTTAAGAAAATCTAATGTAAATAATACTATTTATTGTAATATCCAAATATACAAAAAGAAAGGTGAACGGAAGTGGAGTTTGAGACAGCTTACCACCCATCCATCAATCATCTTCCTCTAACAGGCTCCAACACAATATCATAACCTTTGACTCTGTCTCGTAGGTTACCTTTTCCCTACTTTCTACGAATTAACTCTAGATCCAGATTCCATTTTCTCTAAATCTCCACATATATTCTGTATGTATTAATTATTATTCCTTTTCACGATTCATCATTGCATGTTTGTTTTTCATAATCATTTCTTGTATCATTATCTTCTTTTTTGATTCTGACTCCAAGTTTTTGATGTTAACCTCGTGATCTGAATCTTGATTTGCAGTGTTTGATGTGAGAAGCAGTTGGATGAGAAGAAGAAATTTGATTGTTTGATGGGCAATACATGCCGTGGATCTTTCAGGAGCGAACAATTTCAGGGCTACAATCAGCCCGAAGACAAGCGCAACAACCCATCATCCGACCACTCCAATTCTTCTGAAAACAGCTCGAACTCTCAGCTCCTCGTGGCTCAAGATTTTTCCAAAGACCATCAGCCAAAACAGAGTCCCAAGATCATGAATCGCGGCACTACAAATCAACCTTATTTCGTATTGGGTCACAGGACTGCCAATATCCGTGATCTTTACACGCTTGGCCGTAAATTAGGGCAAGGCCAATTTGGCATTACTTATTTGTGCACTGAAATTTCCACGGGAATCGAATACGCCTGTAAATCTATATTGAAGAGGAAGTTGATTTCTAAGGAAGATGTAGATGATGTTAGGAGGGAGATTCAGATAATGCACCATTTGGCTGGTCATAAGCATATTGTCACCATTAAAGGGGCATATGAGGACCCTTTATATGTTCACATTGTGATGGAGCTGTGCGCTGGGGGTGAATTGTTTGACCGCATTATTCAAAGGGGACATTACAGTGAGAGAAAAGCAGCTGAATTGACTAAGATTGTTGTAGGGGTTGTTGAGGCCTGTCATTCGCTTGGGGTTATGCATAGAGATCTTAAACCTGAGAATTTCTTATTGGTTAACAAGGACAATGATTTCTCTCTCAAAGCCATTGATTTTGGACTCTCTGTTTTCTTCAAGCCAGGCATAAATATATTTCAGCTTTAAATTTTTTAGCTTATTATGCAGATTTGCTTCATCGGTGATATATGACTTTCTGCTTCAGGTCAGATTTTCACGGATGTGGTTGGAAGCCCATATTACGTCGCACCTGAAGTGCTTTCGAAGCATTATGGACCAGAAGCAGACGTGTGGACTGCAGGGGTCATACTTTATATATTGCTAAGTGGTGTGCCGCCTTTTTGGGCTGGTAAGTTGGATTACTATTAAGATTATGCATATTCATTTCCCTAGTAAAATATATTGATAAGTTTTCTGCTTATTTGTTCAGAAACACAACAAGGAATATTTGATGCTGTTTTGATGGGACACATTGATTTCGATTCAGACCCGTGGCCATTAATATCAGAGAGTGCAAAGGATCTTATTAGGAAGATGTTATGCATGCGACCTTCAGAGCGGTTGACTGCTCATGAAGTATTATGTATGTTCACTTTGCCTTTTGCTGGAGTAGATACTTGAGGCTCTGAATTTTGGATCATAAATATTTACGCAATTGTCCTTGAAAAATTTAAATGAACATAGCATGATTAGTGTTATTTACTTATATATTCTCGAACTAATGAACAAAGGGCCCCCTTGCAACATCACAGATTAGTATTCAAGATCAGGGACTAGCATGCGATTTAGAGGACTTAAGTTTTGTATTGAGACTAAGACTCCATCTAGGATCTCTGATGGCTCTAAAGAGAACATTGCCAAGTAACGTTCCAAGCAGCAGGACCTGTTTTTAAAACTCTGCTTTGGTGATTGTGAATTATGCAAACATTTATGCCCAATGGCTATTACTGTGGTGTAGAGTGTTCAATATTGGGATTGAAACACAGAATGTTCACGATCAATATTCACAAACTATTATCAACTTTGTCATTATACAAAGTTGTTCACATTCAAATTGCTATGTGTGTCAATTGTTTTGTATGCTGTTTTCTATGATTTACATGGTAACAATCAGGTAGTTATATCTTTCTACGTTGCAATTCAATAGGTCATCCTTGGATTTCTGAAAATGGTGTTGCACCTGACAGAGCACTGGATCCAGCTGTACTTTCTCGTCTTAAACAGTTTTCTGCTATGAATAAGTTGAAGAAGATGGCTTTGCGGGTATGTAATGAGCACCAGCATGAACTTGTCACGTTTTCCTTCTAATATTTTCTCAATAGAGAGTTTAAGGTCAAATAAAAACATCTTTAGCCAAGTATAGTTTGTCTTGCGACAGGCTAACCACAAAATCAAACATGGTACCACATGAATCTACATATTGCTTCTAGATATGCAGCAGTTTCTATATTTTGTTTGCTGCTTTTGCATCCTTGGTTTGTTACACTAACTGCCTACCCACTGCTTGTG